TCGTGAGTTATTGTTCGGCTCTTCAGAAAATGTGCAGTTCAGTGTGTTTATTTTCTTTTAGCAAATGCTGGTTTTGCATATATCTGGAGTTGACACAAACATTTATCTCAGATCTGACGAGGAAGTTGGTAGGATAGCCGGTAGGCGTTATTGCACTATGTGTCTATATATTCCTTGATATGTGTTGGGCTTTTTTTTTCGAGAACATAGTCATATTCAGATGTGTATTTTAAAACGTCTTCATATTTATTTTATTTTCAGTTTTAATATTTTCGTTTTGATGCGTTTTTCATTTGGTTGATATTAGGCCCCATATATTTAAAAATTCATTATTTATTGGGGAAAAACATCAAGTGCTGGAGGATGATTGAAAATGTTAAAGTATGTGAGTTAGTAATAATTTATTCAGGATTACCGGGCTCTCACACCCCATTTTGGGACTGGTGTTTTCCTTAGAATTGGGGTCTAAATTGGGAAAAAAAGATACTATTTTGCATTGGGGATCGGCCCCAAATCTGGCAGGTCGAGAGCCCTGGATTAAAATGATTGTCATTCACAATGTAAACTTCCATTGATCATCAGGCTAAAATTACAATTTACTGATTCTTGATTGGTTTTAGATTAGTCATAGCTAATTGGTTGAATAAATAGTTCCCATCAGCAGATACAGACCCTTTATTTGTAGCATGGTTCATGCCATGTTATTTTTTACGGATTTGTGTGTTGAGATGTCTGTTGAATCATTCAAACACAAAAATCAATTGAAAGTCTTAGTCTCTGTGATTAATAATTGATCTAATACTACAAAAAGTGCAGAAAATTTCTAAACACTGGTTAGTTCTGAGATGTCTGCAACGTGCAAAGAAGGAATTCTGTTACCATTAGGTGAAGTATATTATAAATATCTTTACAGATGTATTTTGATTAAGCTACAAAAATACTGAAAATGTTGTACATAGAACGGCTAATATTTATTACGATAACTGTGCTTGGATTCCAACCCTGGGCTTCATACTAATATGACTCTAAACTGATCAAGGTAAATAGAAGATGCTCTAACTGAGGTGCATATTGTGACTCCAAAATTGTCAAATCCCTCCCATACACTAGTATTAGTAAAAACATATACTACATCAATGTACTTTAGTTTATTGTTGCTTTGCTTATCATTAACAGCCATGCTTGTTCAAGGATATGCTGGTTTAAGAGGAAAGCCAGATTTCCCAGGGAAAGTCTACTGGCCTTTCTTGGGCTCAAATGAACAAACAACAAAAAGTCAAGTTAGCTGATCCAACAGAAAGCAAGCATATCTGTTGCAATATTCCTGAAAAAAAAACTCAACAAAATCATACACAAGAGTCTCATATTGCAAATACAGACAGGACAGAGATTGTCTGTATAAATATCATCAGCTGGAGCTGTTATTCTTTCAATAGAAGATATCCCACGAATCCCTCAACAACAGATATGCAGCATTATACCACTACCTGATTAAAATTTGGTGGTCAATAGTTGAGGTTAAAGGCCAAAAGTCACCCTTGACCACTTTTAAAGAAATGCCTTGTTTATAGGATACCTTGTAAACATCTAAACAGAGTAGCTACATATGTAACCACATGATAACAAGGACCACTTACATCATGCTTACTTACTTCCTCATTCAAGGATGCTTGTATTTGTGTGAGCCCCAGCTAACTGTGACTTCCTGATTTTTAAGGGAGAGTGGGGAGGAGGGGGGGGAGGATAGTGTAACCCATGTCCCAATCATCACATTCCATCATATCAAATGTAAAAATTTTCAGATGAAATATTTCGGCATATCTGTGCACTCATAAGGATATGAGCATTTCTTTATATAATTAAGGATAACATTGAGATTTTTTAGGGGGGCAGATTTTATATTGATATCCTTGTGTCAGATAAATGACACCCTGTTATATAAGGCAAATCAAGAAATGCACAGCTAACTGTTTATGATTGTACATGCTTTTGTTCAATAATTTGTTCCCTATGTTGAATTTACTGGACTGTAAATGCCATTACTCACTGATCATTGCATTTATAAATGAATTGAGTTTGGTTCACAGCATCTCAGTTCAAATAATTTTGGTTCAAATCAAGAAATATAATCTTTATCAGTCAATGCCCTGGATGTTTTGTCAGCAATTCACTAATGACAACACTCATCATTTACAAGGAAGAAATTTTATATATTTTAAGGCTCAACAAAACAATTGGAAAAACAGGAAGAATTTGATGTTTTGCATTATTTATAGAAAGTTTTTAATTTGTCAGGTTTTGGGAATTGACAATTAAAACAAAACTGCCTTTGCAGAGCTACATTTACAAGACTTAACTGTCTTAACACTTACCTATTTCTTACATATTTTCAATTGATTGAAAGGAATTTGGTTTTCAGTCAATTGGGTCGAAGTTGATGGTACTGCTACTGGCAGAGTAGACAGATGTAGAAGAACATTCAGTTGATATGTGTTTCCTATGTTTTCGTTTCATTTAATAATTTATGGACATTGTTGATCCTGTTTTGTTTTTTTTTAAGGTTTTGTTACATAATTTACATGCAGTGTTTCACTTGTCCTTCTTGTCATCTTGTTCGAGTAATTTGAGGTGGTCCCCTAACCTGGACTGCCAGGAGGCGGCCATTTTGTTACTGACTGCGATTGTAAATCTAGATTTGCCTCGAACCAATTTCCAGAATCCATGATTCGAAAAATAAAACAGCAATACACTGCAGATCACAAGTTATTACAGTATGATTGGAACAGCACTTGGTATGTAAAACTGATAAACTTTGTAGATAATCAATATGGCAGTTAGAGATATCATAGATGACATGATCTTTACAGCCAGGTAGACTTATTAGTGACCTTTTGGGACTCGGTTAGTTGAGTCCTGGACTTGTGCTTTTCTTCTGGGACTTGTTTAAATTTTGAGAACCCACAACACTTCTTTGTTACCAGACTCATCAACGTATAATAAATGGTGGTCTGGATTCCCCAGAAGAAACATCCTTGTGATGGTGCATTGAGGAGAAAGCATGGGGTCCTATGTCAACATTGGAACAGGGACTGAAGGGAGATGTTTATGAAGTCAGTTCTGTAATTCTATTATCATCTTACTTATGGGGTTTTAAGGCTTGACACACCACCAGACATGATCAGTCATTATTTTGTCTCTAGTCCCATAGGAAATTTCGAGAACCATCCATTCAAGAAGCTGGAAGGTTTGGTACCTTGACGAAAATGGTATATATTTGTATTGAATTTTAAGGAAACCAGCTAGACAACGAGATTCTTGACCCCTCCCCTCCCCCTCCCCTCCCCCTCCCCTTCCATTACTTCACACTTGACTGAAGGGCTGTAAGGATTTGCAAGGAATTATATCGCTGTTAGGCATGTGTTGACATTACTGCCTTTCAAATATTGCAGCAAAATGGTTGTTTTTGCTTGAACACAGTCATCACCTGAATCTCCTGTGCCCTAAAGATAAAAAAATTATTAAAGTTTTTACTTCTACATTAAATATCATAGTCTTTAATTCGATCAAAAGAACATTTCTTCATGTAATGTTGTTGATGCTGCAGAAAACCTTGATACGGGGATAGTGCAGCACACATTTTCCTCTACTGTGATAAAAAATATGTTTTTCATGAAACATGTTATGAATCAAGAAAAACTTATATTTTCAAAATAGTGTTATTGTTCTCGTCTTCAGTAGAGAAAATCATAGCTAGGCCTGTCTTTTATATCAAAAGGTTTAAATAAGAGACAGATACTCTTCAATATATGTGGTATGCAGAATGTAGAGGATATGCAAGTTTTGATTTATTTAATATCACATGTATTTTGCAAGTATGACAGAATATCTATATTTTCATGAGTACTACTTGTAATCACAAGTTACAAATGTGATATTCAATAGGAAACCATTAAATTTTTCTGTTCATTATTACATCTTTAAATGAAAAGAAAATGAAAAAACCCAATGCAAACAAAAGATAAAAAAAGTGTTAAAAAATGGGGGAAATATGTTCTTCAATGTTAGATGGTTTGACATTTGACACAAGACGACACCATTTTGAATAGACTGTTTTATGTTGTATATTCTATTGTTAATGCTGTTACGTGGGGGGGGGGGGGTTACCAAACCAGAAATATACATGGGATTTATTTGATAGGATACCAACTTTTAATTATTCATCCTTTGCTTTGCTTTGTTGGCAGCAAATTGCCAAATTTCAATTCAGTGATGATGTAAGTTTTTATCAAACAAATGAATTCCTGTATTTCACTTGCAAAAATATAACAATAAATTCCACCTGAGGAGTCACAGAAAGGATACGTAGTAAAATCTTCTGTAGAAGAGATTCTCATATTTTTACTGTACTGCCGTTTTTTATCCCCGGGTGGAATATCCCTAACCTGTATACATCCTTGTTAAAGAGCCTTATAAAGTGTATATAGCTGAGTCTGACATACACCGTCATGAGTCACCATCCTTCCTGTGTGTATTGTCACCGTTACACCTATAAACCACACATTTTATTGTAAACTTGAGTACATAATGCAGTTAGAATTCTCGTTACTCCAGTGAGTACACGGTTACAATAAAGTTTTATGAGATCAGAACAGGATTTGATTGGTTGATTTCTACTCTCGGTTATTTCATTGGGTAATTATTAACTGCAGAGTGATATGTGAAAAGCTATTTCAGATGAAATTGTTACCAGTTATTAATGTATACATAAATGATCAATCTGTTTTACAGATTATCAAGAATCTTGAGCTTGTGGAAATTCATTAAAGATAAGTCAGTATGATTTTTTAGAATATGTAGATATTAAAATGATGGAAGCTTATGTTATTCCATAGGGCAATAATTTGTCTACGTCTTAAAAACAAGCTAACATAATAACATAATATCCCATGAAATAAAATTCATAAGTTTAAAAATTAATAAAAATAATAAAAAGTCAATGATCCAAATGTACCTCAAGGGTCAGTCCTTGGTCCTATTTTATTTGTATAACAATATTGTAGATGGTAACTCTTCATCTGTTAGGCTTTTTGCAGAAGGTACCGTCATGTATCTCACAGCTACATCGATAAATGAGGCCATCTCTCTGTAAAAAAAACAAAAATACCTCTACAGCTTTATCATTTGGGAAGGGTATATGAATAATGACATTCAAATAAGTAGTATTACAAAGAGTATAATAGTACCAGAAGTTCTCTCAGTTTTCTGATGCAGAAACTTATATACTCCACCAAGATCAAGGGAAAATCCTTTAAAACCCTTGTCTAGCCAAAGCTGGAATATGCTAGCTTAGGTTGGGATCTTCACCTTAAAAAAGAATGATCAGATCCAGAATGGTGTGTCGTCAGACTGCCAGATTCATAACTTACCGTATCCGACCCAATAAGCGCCCATGTCCCTATAACACCCCTCCCCCTTCAGATACCTATAAGTCTAGATTTACTTATGTTTTATCACGATCAAGAATTGTTTTAAGTTGGTTTATAAGGAGATGTACTCCAGAAAAACGTAAAAAAAAAAAACCCAGTTAATCTCCAGTCCACCAGCAACAGAGGAATGTAGATAAGTGTCCTCTGTAATTACTACCACAATTTCCCCACCATGCCTGATTAAAAATTAGCTGTTTTTGACAGTTCACTTGGAATGTGACCCACTGTTTTCCCTTTGTTCACAACTCTGATTTAAAACTTGCCAAACGGATTATTATCTTCAATAACTGTATCAAGGCACTGTCCAATGAACGATTTCCAACACTCTCTTTAAACATGATATCCCCAGACCACAGACGAATATTCATACATACAACACATTTTTCACACATTCCTAAACTACGTGGTAGATGACCTTTACCTTGTGTACCTTGGTGTCGCACGCTCAGCCACAGTAACGCAATTGAATAGGCATAGTCCATTATTACTTAACAGGTAAGATAGCCATTGATACAGCAGATTAAGAAATGATATTTTCATGTGTGATAGAGTATCTGACAGAAACAAATGAAGCAGTTAGATATCAAATGACAAACAAAATAGTTGTGTTGAAACAGGAAAGTATGAATGGAATTTTATATCTTTATCATAAACAAATTCCCTTTCGTGTCATCATGTTAAGATGATCTGAAACATAGAGGTTGACACTAATAATAATGGCGACCACAGACACATCACAATCTAACAAAGGGGGCCGAATCAAGTCGTATGAAATTTCTTTCAATTAAAAGTTGTGGAGTTTGCAAAGGAATGGGGAAACAGCAAAGCATCGAAGCAGTACAATATAGATAGGAAGTGAATTCACGATTGGAGACAAAAAGAGAGTGAATTTAAAACCTCTTTACAAAACACCTCAAAAAGGAGACAGAAAGTTCTTGGTGGAGGCAGATTTTTTAGCACTGAATGTGTTTCTTTTACATCTAAGATTGTCTCTAATAATCGCCCCCCCTTAATTGCAATTTTTAAGCACCCTGGGTGCTTGTTGGATCGAATACTGTATTACCACAAATATACATTCATTATTGGTGACCTGCTGGATAAATTACACAGAAGTAGTCTGGCAGATTGGTATTGTGATCCTCACCTAAGTTTGATGTACAAGATTGTCAATAAACAGATAGCTAACTTTACACTGAAATTTGAGTTATACCCAATCAAATATCCAGACACTCTGCAATTCCTTTCTCTTTCCAAACACTCACCTATAAAACCTCTGCATGCAAACAAATCTTTTTGCCCTGTGATCCAATTCCTTTTAACTTGCTGTATAAATACAGGTTCATTGACACTACAAATTGTAGTGTGACACCTGTGTGTGCAGAGTAATGTCCCTTGGTTGACATAGCATTTACAGGCACATGGTGCCTGTTGTAAAATGGCTGTTTGTATGTGTATTCTGTAACTGAATCCTGCATATGTGTGTTTTACACTCACCAGACTGGGAGGAATGTTCTACTATATCAGTAGTAAAGGGTTGGTCTAATACTAAACACATTTCCATCATCCATTTTACTGCTGCCACACAAGCCTAGTCAACTTCAGATTTCGTCTATTTCAATTGTGATTTTGAAAGGATTAGATTTAATTTTGAAACACTCATCAATAATATAAAGAAAAGAATGACTCAACAGTCTTACTGTTGTTTAGTAAACAAGTTTTTTCAAATAAAAATCCTAATTTCTTTTCCAAGTGTATATTTTAAGCTAACAACTGTTTATCTGCACAGTGTGCATGTATTAATTAATACCTTGTAATGGCTTTCATTTGACTACTTACTATTTTGTTATGATTATTTCTATGGCAGACTTCTTTTAAAATCACACATTATTGCATTTTGATGAAAGAAAATATTTATTATCAGAAAATTCTGTAGTTTTTATAGATAGAAGTTTATCGGATGAGAATCTATTTTAAACCACATACATTATATTCAACTATATCTTAAGGAATACGAAGGAAAAAATGATTTTTTTTTTTGTCAGATATAAACATAAATTTCTGAAGTATGTTAAGATAATGAAGAGATAAAATATCTGGAACTCTTGTAGAAAGGAAAAGAAGATTTATTTAGTAAAAGGTTGGTTTAAATATTTTGTTTTTCTCCACCTGTATAGTTTTGTGATACCTTTGAGTAATATTTTACAGACATTGCAGATAATAATGTATTTTAAGTGATTTTATCACTGCACATAAAACACTTAGCATTGTGATTACATTCAGAATTTTTTTCAGTATACATCTCTACACTGTGCACAAGAATCTGCAGTTATATAACAATAATATGGATTTTCATTATGGTATATGGTTGTATTTGATTTAGGATCAGTCAAGTAGCTGGACTACTTGTGCCAATTTTTAGTAAAACACTCTACTTGTTTGTTGGGTTGATCACCTTGTCAACATCCATGGGTCATTTGGAGACATCAACACATTGGCAGAGATTGGTCCCACAAGGAAGGGAGCATGAGCACAGAGAGCATCAGTACAGACAGAGATCATGAGTACAGAGAGCGTGAGTAAGGAAAGCATGAGTACGGAGAGAATGAGTATGGAGAGCATGAGTATGGAGAGCATGAGTACGGAGAGCATTAGTACGGAGAGCATGAGTACGGAGAGCATGAGTACGGAGAGAATGAGTACGGAGAGCATGAGTACGGAGAGAATGAGTACGGAGAGCATGAGTACGGAGAGAATGAGTACGGAGAGCATGAGTACGGAGAGAATGAGTACGGAGAGCATGAGTACGGAGAGAGTGAGTACGGAGAGCGTGAGTACAGAGAGCGTGAGTACAGAGAGCGTGAGTTTATGGAGAGAATGAATACGGAGAGCATGAGTACGGAGAGCATGAGTACGGAGAGAATGAATACGGAGAGCATGAGTACGGAGAGAATGAGTACAGAGAGCATGAGTACGGAGAGCGTGAGTACAGAGAGCGTGAGTACAGAGAGCGTGAGTATGTAGAGCGTGAGTACGGAAAGCATGAGTACGGAGAGAATGAGTACGGAGAGAATGAGTACGGAGAGCATGAGTACGGAGAGAATGACTACGGAGAGCATGAGTACGGAGAGAATGAGTACGGAGAGCATGAGTACGGAGAGAATGAGTACGGAAAGCGTGAGTACAGAGAGCGTGAGTATGTAGAGCGTGAGTAGGGAAAGCATGAGTACAGAGAGAATGAGTATGGAGAGAATGAGTACGGAGAGAATGAGTACGGAGAGCATGAGTACGGAGAGCATGAGTACGGAGAGCATGAGTACGGAGAGAATGAGTACGGAGAGAATGAGTACGGAGAGCATGAGTACAGAGAGAGTGAGTACGGAGAGCGTGAGTACGGAGAGCGTGAGTACGGAGAGCGTGAGTACAGAGAGCGTGAGTATGTAGAGCGTGAGTAGGGAAAGCATGAGTACGGAGAGAATGAGTACAGAGAGCATGAGTACGGAGAGAATGAGTACAGAGAGCATGAGTACAGAGAGTATGAGTACGGAGAGCATGAGTAGAGAGAGAATGAGTACAGAGAGAATGAATACGGAGAGCATGAGTACGGAGAGAATGAGTACGGAGAGCGTGAGTACGGAGAGCGTGAGTACAAAGAGCGTGAGTATGTAGAGCGTGAGTATGGAAAGCATGAGTACGGAGAGAATGAGTACGGAGAGAATGAGTACGGAGAGCATGAGTACAGAGAGAATGAGTACGGAGAGCATGAGTACAGAGAGAATGAGTACGGAGAGCGTGAGAACAGAGAGAGTGAGTACGGAGAGCGTGAGTATGTAGAGCGTGAGTAGGGAAAGCATGAGTACAGAGAGAATGAGTATGGAGAGCATGAGTACGGAGAGAATGAGTACGGAGAGAATGAGTACGGAGAGCATGAGTACGGAGAGCATGAGTACGGAGAGAATGAGTACGGAGAGCATGAGTACGGAGAGAGTGAGTACGGAAAGCGTGAGTACGGAGAGCGTGAGTACGGAGAGCGTGAGTAGGGAGAGAATGAGTACAGAGAGCATGAGTACGGAGAGAATGAGTACAGAGAGCATGAGTACAGAGAATATGAGTACGGAGAGCATGAGTACAGAGAGAATGAGTACAGAGAGAATGAGTACGGAGAGAATGAGTACGGAGAGCGTGAGTAAGGAGAGCATGAGTACAGAGAGAATGAGTACAGAGAGAATGAGTACGGAGAGAATGAGTACGGAGAGCGTGAGTAGGGAGAGCATGAGTACGGAGAGCATGAGTACGGAGAGAATGAGTATGGAGAGCGTGAGTAGGGAGAGAATGAGTACAGAGAGAATGAGTAGAGAGAGCATGAGTACGGAGAGAATGAGTACAGAGAGCATGAGTACGGAGAGCATGAGTATGGAGAGCATGAGTACAGAGAGAATGAGTACAGAGAGCATGAGTACAGAGAGAATGAGTACAGAGAGCATGAGTACGGAGAGTATGAGTACGGAGAGCATGAGTACAGAGAGAATGAGTACAGAGAGAATGAGTACGGAGAGAATGAGTACGGAGAGCGTGAGTACGGAGAGCGTGAGTACAGAGAGCGTGAGTACAAAGAGCGTGAGTATGTAGAGCGTGAGTATGGAAAGCATGAGTACGGAGAGAATGAGTACGGAGAGAATGAGTACGGAGAGCATGAGTACAGAGAGAATGAGTACGGAGAGCATGAGTACGGAGAGAATGAGTACGGAGAGCGTGAAAACAGAGAGAGTGAGTACAGAGAGCGTGAGTATGTAGAGCGTGAGTAGGGAAAGCATGAGTACAGAGAGAATGAGTATGGAGAGCATGAGTACGGAGAGAATGAGTACGGAGAGAATGAGTACGGAGAGCATGAGTACGGAGAGCATGAGTACGGAGAGAATGAGTACGGAGAGCATGAGTACGGAGAGAGTGAGTACGGAAAGCGTGAGTACGGAGAGCGTGAGTACGGAGAGCGTGAGTAGGGAAAGCATGAGTACGGAGAGAATGAGTACAGAGAGCATGAGTACGGAGAGAATGAGTACAGAGAGCATGAGTACAGAGAATATGAGTACGGAGAGCATGAGTACAGAGAGAATGAGTACAGAGAGAATGAGTACGGAGAGAATGAGTACGGAGAGCGTGAGTAAGGAGAGCATGAGTACAGAGAGAATGAGTACAGAGAGAATGAGTACGGAGAGAATGAGTACGGAGAGCGTGAGTAGGGAGAGCATGAGTACGGAGAGCATGAGTACGGAGAGAATGAGTATGGAGAGCGTGAGTAGGGAGAGAATGAGTACAGAGAGAATGAGTAGAGAGAGCATGAGTACGGAGAGAATGAGTACGGAGAGCATGAGTATGGAGAGCATGAGTACAGAGAGAATGAGTACAGAGAGCATGAGTACAGAGAGAATGAGTACAGAGAGCATGAGTACGGAGAGTATGAGTACGGAGAGCATGAGTACAGAGAGAATGAGTACGGAGAGAATGAGTACGGAGAGCGTGAGTAAGGAGAGAATGAGTACAGAGAGAATGAGTACGGAGAGAATGAGTACGGAGAGCGTGAGTAGGGAGAGCATGAGTACGGAGAGAATGAGTATGGAGAGCGTGAGTAGGGAGAGAATGAGTACAGAGAGAATGAGTAGAGAGAGCATGAGTACGGAGAGAATGAGTACAGAGAGCATGAGTACGGAGAGCATGAGTATGGAGAGCATGAGTACAGAGAGAATGAGTACAGAGAGCATGAGTACAGAGAGAATGAGTACAGAGAGCATGAGTACGGAGAGCGTGAGTACAGAGAGAATGAGTATGGAGAGCGTGAGTAGGGAGAGAATGAGTACAGAGAGCATGAGTACGGAGAGCATGAGTACAGAGAGCGTGAGTATGGAGAGCATGAGTACGGAGAGCATGAGTGCAGAGAGTGTGAGTACAGAGAGAGTGAAAACAGAGAACATGAGTATAGAGAGAATGAGTACAGAGAGAATGAGTATGGAGAGCGTGAGTACGGAGAGAATGAGTACGGAGAGCATGAGTACGGAGAGAATGAGTACGGAGAGCGTGAGTACGGAAAGCGTGAATACGGAGAGCGTGAGTACAGAGAGAATGAGTACAGAGAGCATGAGTGCAGAGAGAATGAGTATAGAGAGCATGAGTATGGAGAACATGATTAGGGAACATGAATAGGGTGCGTTGAGTAGGGAGCTCGAGTCAGGATTATGAGTAGGGAACACACACATCATATATTCACTTACATAGGTCAAAGCTGTAATCAACTGATGCATGAGCTAGTATATAGTAGCCCCCAACATTCTTATACAAGCCATGAGAGTTGTATTCAAGCAGTTGTAGATTGGTATGATAATGACAGGCCAATGGTAGCTAGAAAATTTAACATGTAATAGATTATTGATGATGTAGAGATTGAATTAAGGTAGATTAGTGAGGATGATGTGCATGATGGTAAAAGGGGGACAGTAGGTTGATGTCGAGAGAACATCAGTAATTAGAGACACCAAATTCATTAAGAAAAGGATGGAAACAGATCTATGGGTGTTTAAATTAACTCTGGATGTACAGGTTTTGTTAATTGGCAGTTGATTGTCGTGTTTTTTTGGGACAAAACAATTGTAATGTGAATTACATTTTAACAACTTAGCTTATTATTGAAATTGGATTGCGACTGCCATGATTCTGTTTTAAATCGATATCTTGTATCTATAACTTAGTGCCATCTTCTCTGTTTTTCATAAATTGATTCATTATATAAAACATTATTTATTTCCTAGCTCCCAAAAATGAATTGAATCAAGATTAGGATAATAGTGATATGTAACAAAAAAAAAGAAATTTGAAAATGTCTCAGTTTGAGGTTGCAAAGTTCAAATGAAGGCCTTGCTTGTTAAACAATGTGTCATCTCAAAAATACCTGCAAGTTGATATTTATTGAAGATTTCATCGAATGAAGACAACTTTTAGCCCGCATGATCAGCAAATTAAAATTGTCAGAATGTTTACAAATATGTTTATTTAAAGCATTTTAACAACTCTGATTACATGCAGAAGTTCTCAAAGTTTTACATATGTAGGTGTTAACACAATTTACAACCAGTTTAGACGTGAAAGTTTTTAAAATATTGTTTTTCTGTTTTAGGGTATACTCCAATAAGTTGTAAATTGCTTCATAAATTTGTAAATACATATCTGTGTAACTTTGTATCATTGAAATCATGCAGGAGTTTGATATTGGTCAAATGTGTGAACATTGCCATAGTTACAGGGCTTTATTGGTCAAATGTGTGAACATTGCCATAGTTACAGTACTTCATTGGTCAAATGTATAAACATTGCCATAGTTACAGGACTTCTGTTGAATAACACAAATTGTATGTTTTCTTTATTAAGTTGTACTGATATCAAAATGATTTCTCTCTAGTTTGGTTTTTCTTGGAACTAATCTTTGTGTTGTTATGTTTTATCAGTATCTATTTACAGTAAAACTCACTTGTGTTGAACACCCTTGAATCGAATACATCAGAGGAGTCAAATGTTTTATTTGGTTCCGATTTTTTCTCTTCTTTATTTTAGTAAATTAAACACAGATGATTCAAACAACGTTGAGTTGAATACTGCATTTGTGTCAAATGTATTTCATGGTCCATCCCTTCAAGCGTTGCCTTGTCTCCGGTAATAAATTCATGGCTTTGGTCTTAATGACTGAGTGTGATTGGTCAGCCGTATCGGTGTTAACAAGCCATATTGTAGTTTTTAATTGAACATTGATACCTGCGTTTAGACAGGAGCACAGGTAAAAGTTTGAATTGGTACAGAATTAAGCGATCAAACTTGGAAATAAAATACACTTTAGTCTTCATTCAAATTTTGTGGCAAGTTACGTTGTTTTGGGGAGCATTCTATAGTTTCACTGATACTCATGTCTTTTATATTAAGTTTAACAATGCATTTTTTGCAGATTTTGATCATAAAATTTTGTTAGAAGTGTGCAAACATTTGTTCATGAGCAATTTTTTTCATAATGAAATAAGAATTTATGGAATAAGAATCCTATGAACATAATGTTAGGAATCAGGTTTTAATGGTGAAATTTTGGTGAAAAGAAAACCCCTTAAACATAAGTTTGTAGACAGCAGTGTTTTTTTTTTTAGCAGTGGTGAAGGCTAAGATTATTGGTACAAGTATCCTTAAAGATGTTGTCAGCCAGCCATAGAAACCATGATTTGTGTTCTTCTCATCATCTTTTCTTTGTACACTTGTGGTTTTAAATCATATATATTGTAACAGACAATAATATCACTCTAAGAACGTTGAGTAAAAGTATCCTTTATCAGATTTTTTAGTCGTTAACTTCACTATTCACAATTAACTCATCAACCTAAGAATTCTAATGCCTCTGTGTATGTTTTTGGCTTGGGAGTTTAAATCAGAGAAATAGAGAAAATACCCCATGTTCGAGGTGTCCCAGGGCAGCTGTCTGGTCGATCTAGAAGTACTGCACATATGTAGTATGCCCCTCACCCAACCTTATACACATGTACAGATGTACATCGGAAGTAAAAACCTGCCTTGACTAACATGTGGTGATTTCATCATTTGAAAAAGAAGATATTCAAATGTGCCATTGAATCAACAGATAAACTCAAATGTCAAGGACTTGTGTACACTTTGTTGTACGTAAGACTGAACTTTTGGAAATATTGAATACAGTGCACACATATACTCTGGACTGTTAATTTCTTGAGGAGACTTAAGGATTGTCCAGAAAAGTGTCGACTTTTGATTCATACCATTAACCAGCAAGATTTGTGCTGAAAGTTTCAAATTTGGATTTTTTAAAGGGAAAATTTTTTCAACTAGACGTAACAAAAGCTGCTGGTGTCTTAACTCCACCAAATACACAAATAATGATGTGTAATGTGTCTATAAATAGATTCAGGATGGTTTAAATGCACTGACCTTGGCAGTGTGTAGTGTGTCTATAAATAGAACAGGGGAATGTTCTCTATGATTTTTGTGGAACTATAAGCTTCAAATTGTATACAGTAAATTTTACACCAGAATATATATCTGTATATATTCAGTTTGCAGACGATAGAAAAGACTTTTTCTGGAATTTACAAAGAAAGAACTTTTTAAAGTTGACCATAAAATCTATTGATAATTCTAGTTTTTTGAGGGTGATTAAATAGTTGAGAAAAAAAAACCTGTTTCTGAAATTCTATTTTTAGATTAGAATACCTGTCTATAATATCTACAGGTAGACATTATTAATCCACACCAGCCGGCTTTCTCACCTGTTAGGAATTTATCTTACCTTTACTTTTTATACCTGTCTGGGATAGAAGGTGTTTTGATTCTCTTCAGAGATCAGGTATTCTGTAATATTTACACTGTTGGGCGAGGTAAAGTTTAGACGTACGTTTTAAACTCTACGTTTAAACAGGTGTTGGGAAAATGATGGAGTGAATTTTCAGTGACAAACTTTTAAACAGGGATTATTGATCCTATGGAGGAGTGTTGTACCACTTCAGTGGTATATGTATGGTGGCCAGTTACATTGAACGTGGCCAGTTAGGTGGCTGCCATTTAGAAGTAAATATTGAGATTCTGTCGACATTTCTGTGATATCTCTGTGCTGACAACTAGTTGATACCTATCAGTGAGTGTGCTGGATGATATAACGGAAGAGACCTTCCATGTGAGGATTTATAGGAGAGAAACGAACACGCAGATAAACTTGTTTGATATGGAACTTTGATAAGATCATCGGTAAAAAGGATCGTGTATGAAATATCATTTAAGTCTTAAAGTTGTCCTGGTCGTGACCTAGCTCTGAGATGCTACTTTCACATTCAGCAGTTTGAAAACAAAATATAAATTGACTTTCAACAAGAACTCCTAATTGTCGTCAACTTTTCATGTTGGATGGAATATTGAAAACTCTTGATAAATATACAGGAATGATTTCTTTCTGAGTGAGTAAATTTTCAGACATCGAGTTATTGGAGGTTTGATGAGGAGCAGACGACACTTGAATTTGGAATTCACAACATATACCTAAGCTAATACCGTACACATATTGATCTTTGACCTGTCAAGAAAGTGGTGCGTTAAATCTGAAATAGGTGTTTTCCAGTTGCTAGTATTCAAATGATCTCTATTTTAATACTTAAATCCTTCGTAAACAACGCTGAAAGAGGGACCTTTTAAACAGCTCTATTTGTGGAAAGGTGTTGTCTGTTCGAAATTCAGATATGGATACGGTAGGACAATAGACTTTACTGTTGGAAAAATCTGCTGAGCAATTCAGAAAAGTTAGTTGTGTGCACGTGGTGACCCGGAAGTTTAACCTGAAGTTTAACCTTGTGTGTGTGCTTTTAACAAGTAGATCTGGTGCATGTAGAACTTTTACTTTTTAACTTTCACATCTATGCACCTGAACAAACCAGAACAGGTTTCAGGTTTCAGGTTTCATGGAAGACATTTTTCTCAACATATAATAGAGTTTGAAAACTGAGGTTGAAATCCAACAAAAAGAACATACTTACTGTTTTGTTGTGAAACAAGAATTATCTCCGTGTACATGTGTTGTGTACATATGTTGTGTACATATGTTACACCTACATTCTTAAGAAGGAAATCATAAGAAATCTATCAGCGTTAGGGACTTATAGACACATTACTTGTATACAGCATTGTTATAGTTGGGGAACGGTTTGTATTGTATACTTGTGTACTCTATCGTGTATATTCATGCACAGGCCATGAAGACAATGTGGATGTAATTAAGACAAAGTGTTGATGATCTGATGGAATTTTCTTCCTTTAATTCGGTCATTCACAAGTGATATCATTACATAAACATGTTTTGTTGTTGTGGTGAGCCAAGTGACTCAGAATCTGAATCATTTCAGGAGAAAAAGAGAACAGAATCATCTCAACCTACAGACAGTGTGACCTGCACATCACTTAGTGAGATTACCTCCCCTGTACAGGAAGTTGGTCACTCCCCAAAACAGGAACAGGAAGTCAAACTAAAAAAGGAGACCTCCCCAACACAGAAACAGGAAGTGAGTGAGGCTGAAGGGTACATCACCGGTGATAAAGTTATTAGTCAAGGTCAAGGACCAGAAGAAGGGGTAAGTGAGGAAAGTGTGACTCCTGCTTTTGTGGAAATTGAAGAGAAGGGAATTGAAGTACAGAGAGAGGAAGTTACTTATAAAGTGATAGAGGATATTCAGAGGGACGAAGAGGAACAATTGGATCTTGAAATCCAGCAAGCACAGGAGGAATTAGCCAAAGTTTGGGAACGAGTTAAAGCAGAAGAAGAGGAAATGTCGAGTGAAGCTTTGACATCAGCTGTGAACCGGCTTGAAGCCGTAGCTACCAGACTTGAAGCACTGGCTTTAAAGGCACCATCTACTAGTCGCGGAGCAAGTGCTGAACCAGGTTAGTATCTGTTTTTTTTTTTTTTTTTTTATTTGAATTCGACAGAAATAATTTGAGGTGATTACAATGACAATCAAATGTCATTGCCATCTGCCATCACACTTTAATAGCCATGAACCTATGACTTACATATTCAGCAGTTGACCCGATATCTCTTCAATAAGCCCACCTATATGTATCAATAATTGCTCTTTTGATGTCCTCTAAATTGCGCGATTTTGAGTTTGATGTATCATGCTGCTGATTGTTATAGAATAAATACGGTAACTATGGTAACAAGCCTTTTCATGTATCTACAATGAATTGTTGTATGTTTATATGTGTTTAATGTGATACACCTTGTAATAGTAACGGTAGACTAGTAGACCACAGATATGAGCGACAACCTGCAGGCAGTTTATGTAAAATGTCAATATAATGGGTCTGATATCTGTGCTGCTCTTGTGCATTTTAATCTATTTGGGAGATCAAACAACATTTTAAGTCATTTGAAATGTGGCATGAAGCAGTTATTGTGTTTTCAACAATGTAGTAGAGAGATTGCCTTTGACTTTAATTTACAAACACTAGTTGTCTTTCAATTTATAGTGGTGGCCTTTAGGGGTTTTGTTATCAAGGAGGGAAAGAATATGTAAATCACTTGTTTTGGAAAAACGATGATGTTGAAAAAGTTTAAATAGGAATTATGATTTATTTAAGTAACTGTTCTTTCAAAAAGTAAACATATTAACTTAGAATAAAAAAAAACTAAGTATTGCCATTAAAACATGAAATATTGAGTTATAGACACTAACAGGTACCAAGGACCCCCTGCAGTAGAAAGCATAAAAACATTCAATTATAGACACCAGCAGGTACTGTGGAACTCTTTCTATAGAAAATATGAAATGATCAGTTAGAGACACTAGCAGGTACCATGGACCTCTTGTCATATACAACATGAAATGATCAGTTGGAGACACTAACAGGTACCATGGACCTCTTGTCATAGACAACATGAAATGATCAGTTATAGACACCAGCAGGTACTGTGGACCTCTTGTCATAGACAACATGAAATGATCAGCTAGAGACACTAACAGGTACCATGGACCTCTTGTTATAGATATCATGAAATGATCAGTTAGAGACACTAGCAGGTACCATGGACCTCTTGTCATAGAAAACATGAAATGATCAGCTAGAGACACTAACAGGTACCATGGACCTCTTGTCATAGACAACATGAAATGATCAGTTAGAGACACTAACAGGTACCATGGACCTCTTGTCATAGAAAATTTGAAATGATCAGTTAGAGACACTAACAGGTACCATGGACCTCTTGTTATAGATATCATGAAATGATCAGTTAGAGACACTAGCAGATACCATGGACCCCTTTTCATAGACAACATGAAATGGTCAGTTAGAGACACTAACAGGTACCATGGACCACTTGTCAAAGAAAACATGAAATGATCAGTTAGAGACACTAACAGGTACCATGGACCCCTTGTCATAGAAAACATGAAATAAATAGTTAGAGACACTAACAGGTACCATGGACCTCTTGTTATAGACATTATGAAATGATCAGTTAGAGACACTAACAGGTACCATGGGCCTCTTGTCATAGTAATGAGAGCCGTTATCCATTCAGACTCTCTTTCTGTTCTACTAAGTCTTAGCAATAGAAATATCGAAAATATTTTCGTTCGTAATACCGTAATACTATATCATGAACTAGCCTTTAACTTTGGTATTGCTTTTTGCTGGGTTCCTGGGCACATGGAAATACCAGGCAATGAAAAAAGAGATCGTGCCACAAAGGAAGCATTATCATTACCACCTGTTGTTTTTAAACTTCATTACCGATTTTTAACCATTTATTAAACAAAGTTTAAAAGTTCAGTGGCATGAGGAATGGAATACCTATACAAAAAACAAATCGCACTCCGTTAAACCTGTTATCGGTGAATAGTCTCCAGGCTATAGAGACCATCACAGAGACGAAGTTGTCCTGTCCCGTCTTTGGATGGGTCATACATACCTTACACATTCATATATGTTGAAAGACGAAGATAATCCTTGGTGCATAGGATGTGATGAGCCGTTCACCGTAAAACATTTTTTATTGGACTGCATTGACCTTCTGTCTACTAGAGAACGTTTTTATTGTAACATTACATGCTTAAAATCCCTTTTTGAAACTGTTGAGAATTGTAAAATTCTACATTACCTGAAAGATGTTGGTCTATATAATAGGCTATGATGCACCATTTTAATCTAATGTGTTAACATACCCATTTAAGATTTTTAACATTTGTCTTTTACATTTTGGTTTGTTAAATGTTATTTCCTTTCGGATCGCTGTGTGTTGTTACCGTTTGATGGCCCTAATGACCTTTTATGTGTTGACAGGCCGTTTAAGAATGTAATTATAATTATGATAATTGTCATAGAAAACATGAAATCAGATACAAGTAGAGCTGTAACAATAGTCGAATCATCAATGTATTGCGATAACCATGATGACCCATTGCCATAGAAACCCAGAAATATTCCCTTATAGATGTTAACCGATACCGTGGTCCTCTTACTATCGAAAACTTTTTAAAATCTTGAAGTAATAGCAAACCTTGAATGATGGAATTTTAAAAAAACTTTATGTAATTGCGCAGAAATCGGCTAGATGTTATATTAATATGAACAAATGCATTAGACTTCCTGTCATCATGGTCATACAAAACCTGAAAGTTAAGAATCAATGGGAAAGCTGGCTATATATGGATTCTAACTTCTCTAACATGACAAACCTACAGCACAGACATACTCCACAGCTAATTGATAGTGATGATTACTCTGTCTGATTTAGGATTGACAAAAAAATAAATGTGTTTCCTGGTAGCATTTTGGAAACAACTGGAGATAGGAAGATAGGTAGGTTGGCAATAAATTTTGTCTAACGAATATTTTTATATGGTTTATACAGGAGAGAGATCTTGACTTTAACAGTGCTTCTTTGAAAACTGCCCTGAAAAAATTAGGGTAGTCACAAAATATTGTGTTAGGTAGCTTTAGGGTTACTGTAAACAAGAAATTTCTTTTGTTTGGCCTTAGGTGTTTCTATGCTTTATGAAGACTTATATCCTATAAATTGTATAGTGTCCTGTGTCTGGTGGTTGATGTCTTGACAGTAAGAAGAATTGTAGCTAGAATTAGAGGGATTTAAAACAAGACACAAACATTTCGGACATCTGTCATTATAGTCTGCCGTTGTGATAAGTGGTCGCCCATAATTTACACACTTAATCAATAACTTTTCATCTTATTACTGACGGACTTTTTGCTTTTCTAGAATATAGAATGGAAATGATAATGAAAAATACTGCAGTCCTATTCCATAAAGTCATCAAATTGACGTTTCCAAATATGATCAAAGAAAAATAATTTTTCATGTGCCTATTGACAAGATGCATTAGGTTATGGTGTTGTCTGCCAGTCATTAAGTTTGATTTCTTTGCAGAATTACTCCCACATTTTCCCAATTACCTTTCAAACTTGTTCGAGTTAAGCACTACAACTGAAAGTTTTGTTTTCCAGAACAGCAATTTGCAGGAGTGCCCTTTATAAGTTTCATAACCTTTACCTTGTCAGAAGATTTTGACCTTCTGTTTTTGACTTATTTCTTTCAAACTTGGCATTTAATTGTGTTTTCATGAACAGAAGTTCCATTTAAAAACTTTGGAGGAGTTATTTACTTTCGTTTTTAAGCACCTTTTTTTATGTCTGGAGATCTTTCATTTTTAAACCAATTTCTTTGAAACTTGGTTGGCTACTCAACCATAATATGAAATTTCTTTGTCACTGAATGACAGTTAGATTCAGTTATTTTTGGAACAGTTTTCACTGTGGGTTTTTCAATATTTTAATCTTGCATGTATATCCCATTAATCAGTTAACTTATTTCTTTAAAACTGATCAAGTTTTAATAAACATGGCATTATATTTTTTTCCTGAATGTTTTGATTCAACAAATTTTGGGGGAGTTATTGCCCTTTGTTTTCTTCAGCATTTAAATCCTCTTCAGAAATCCATTCCCACAATTTTCAACCAATATCTTGCAAACTCCTTAGACTTAGTTGCTATGAGGTTATATTTTCTTGATCAGCATTTTGATTTAACGAATTTGGAAGAGAAATTGCATTTGTTGTCTTTTTTTTAATATTTTGATCTTGTCTCTATATCCTATTCATCAATTGTTAACTAATTTATCTTTGATGATGTTTTGATTCAAGAATTTTTGGAGTTATTGCCCTTTGTTTTCTGCAGCAATTATATTCTGTCCAAAGATCTCCCATAGTTTTCCGCTGTGATCTCTTTCAACTTCTCAGGGCTTAATTGCAGTGACATAAAGTTGTATTTTCTTGAAAAACATATTGATTCAATAATTTTTGTAAGAGTTTTTACGCTTTGTCTTTTCAGCACTTAGATTTCTCCGTATAAATCCTCTGTCAGTCGTTAACCTATTCCTTTGAAACTTGATAAGGTTGATTAATCATGGCATGATGTTTTTCTTTTCCTGGAAGGCATTTTGATTCTACAATTCTCTGTTTTTTCTAGCATTTTAATCTTGTTTATAGATACAGTTAAAAAAAAGATTCACGAACCCTGTCTTAAAATCTTGTTTACTGAGATCTTTACGTGATTCAGGGATTTAGGTTCATACACAAGTTTTACATGTTTAAAAAAAGATTCATGAAATTTGTCTTAGAGACTTGTGTACCAAGATCTATCATTACAAGGTATCTACATTAGAAACACAGAAAGTGAAAGAAAGGTCAAGGGGTTTTCTTGTTGGTTTCATTGGCTGCTATATATAGTAGCATTGTTAAGACAGGCTATTGGAGATGATTGTTATCATTACACAGAGATATCTGTTTTAATTGGCTGTACTTGAATCTGACCATTACAGTTTTATAGAAAATAAAACACATTTTTGACATGATAATCCCATC